GTTTCTGTAAGACTTATGGTAACTGCAAAGCAAAAATTCATAATACACTAAAAATAAAAAGCAACAAATTAATATATACTAACAGATAAAAATCACTTAATCACATTAAAAGAAATGAAAAAAGGAAGCAAAGAGTTATACAATTAAAAATCAAGCAACAAAATGGCAGTAGTAAGGCCTTATATGAATAACACTGAATGTAAATGGACTACACTCTCCAGTTAAAAAACATACAGTGGCTCGCTAAATTAAAATATAACACACAAGTAAGTATATGCTGCCTATAAGAAATGCACCTCATGTATAAGGATACACATAGACTGAAAGTAAAGGAATAGAAAAAGATAACCCATGGAAATGAAAACCAAAAAAGAACAGAAGTAGCCACATTTATATCAGATAAAATAGACTTTAAGTCAAAAACTAAAAAGAGACAAAGAAGGAAATTATATAATAATAATGAGTCAATTCAGCAAGAAAATATAACAATAGTAAATATATATGCACCCAACACCAGAGCACCAAATATACAAAGCAAATATTAAAAGATCTAAAGGGAGACAGACTGGAGTACAATGGCACGATCACAGCTCACTGCAGCCCTCAAACTCCTGAGCTACATCAATCCTCCCAGATTAGCCTCCAAGCACTTAGTACTTCAGGCATGCACCACCATGCTTGGCTAATTTTTTGCATTTTTTTTAAAGATGAGGTTTTGCCATATTGCCCAGGCTGGTCTTGAACTCCCGGGCTCAAGTGATCCACCCACCTCAGCCTCCCAAAGCGCTGGGATTAACACATGTGAACCACTACGCCTGGCCCCAGAAGATAATTTGAAACTCAGTTTTTTCTAAATCAGGTACCTAAAAGCTAAGGTGAATATTTTTGGTGCCATTTTTCGGTTTAGCATTGATACACTATAGAAAGTCACTTTAGTCAGTTTCACAGAACAGTCAAGAGAACAACATAATAATGCATGTTCTTATTGGTATAGTATGCACAAGCTAATTCAGCAGCTCTATTTTAGATTGAGATATTCTGGGGAGATGAGTAAACTTATGATTGATTTATAAGTGCTTGCGTGCCTCATCTTGGACCTGTGAGATTCAGTCTTCATATCTGTTTTCACATCCCTGTCTCCACCATGCCCAATCTCAATTTCTTGTTTGTGTATGATGCAATATGCTCTGTTTTGGTTATTTAACTCCTTAATCCAGTTGTATGTGTCCTTCCATATGTCACTAAAATAACAGAGTCATTTAGCTTTCTTTTTCAGTGATGTCTGAATCATACTGGCACTGGTATTATAATTGTTCTCATTTTCATTATCTAATCTTAGAAAACATGTTGACAATATTTATAATGTTAAAAATTAAACACCATCTGGTACAAAGCACAACATGTAGGCAAAGTCAAAGACTTACTGCTCACAACTGTAATGTACTTATATTGCACACTTAAATCACATCACTTGGTGTGATACAGCAATGTATGATCCATTATTGTGAATCCTTGGTTGTTAGTATCAGCAATCATGAGAAAAAAAAACCCCCAGCAACAGCCACTAGGAACAGCAGATAAACTACGCCATATCTTTTTCTAAAAATTGAAAGGTGTTGCTTCCAGCTCTTACTTTTTTAGGCCACCTTATGGATCCTGTACTTTCCTCTGAACTTTGCACATCCATACTGAAAGGCAAGATGTTTTCTTTCCTGGGATGGCAAACTTTCAGTACAAAAATCAGGACAGGATCAGGCAAACAATGATGGTTGGCCACCACAAATTCATACTGTCTCTTCTACATCCTTTTCCAAACTTCTCAACTGAACCCATCCTCTTTTGATCCAACTTCTTTAGACCACAGTCTCAATCCCCTTGGCCTCGGCAATTTGCCCTCCTGATGACCCTAACCTCAATCTCTTAACCCATTCAACCACTATCAGCCTCAACCAATCTTATCCTTTCAATCCTCAAGGACAAAACTTAACCTCTTAACTTCTCTCAACATTACTTCATCCTCTCTGCCTAACTGGAATTCAACCTCACCCAAACACTGACTTTTGATAACCTAAGTTTGACTTTTCAACATCAACCAACCTCAACCTCTAAATCTCATAGGCCTTGTCTTCTGATCCTTCTCACCTCAACCATGTCCTCTCATCTTCTTCCTATAGACCTTAATCATCCTCATTCTTTTAACCTCATTCCCTTGACTTCAACTGATCTTGTGCTCTCAACTTCAATCAGCCTCATTCTCTTGACCTTACCTAACCTTGTTCCATTTACTGTGACTCCATTTCCTAAACCTCACCTAGTACCTCCACCTCCCCTGTTCTCCTTAACTGGGTGATATAGTTTGGCTGTGCCACTCAAATCTCATCTTGAATTGTAGTTCCAATAATCCCCATGTGTCATGGGAAGGATCCAGTGGGAAGTAATTGAATCGTGGGGGCAATTTCCCCCAAGCTGGTCTTGTGATAATAAGTTCTCATGAGATGTTATGGTTTTATAAGGGACTTTCCCCTTCATTAAGCTCTCGTTTCTCTCTCCTGACACCATGTGAAGGTCATCTTGGCTTCCCCTTCTGCCATGATTGTAAGTTTCCTGAGGCCTCCCCAGCCCTGTCAAACTGTGAGTCAATTAAATCTCTTTTCTCTATAAATTACCCAGTCTTGAGTAGGTCTTTATTAGCAGCATGAAAACAAACTAATACATTGGGTTATTAGTACCACCATTTACCCAGTCTTCAAAACCAAAACCTTGAGTCACCCTAGATTTATTCATATTTTTGTATTACATACACTAGTCATCAAATACTATCAGTTTGCTGCTAAAATTATTGCTGAAACTCATTCATTTCTCTTTATCATGGCAAATATTTTACTTCCAGTTCCATCATTGTTCATCTATGTTACTGCCCCAGAATCCTAACAAGTCTCTTTACTTCCAACCTAAGCAACATTTTCTCTTCTATCTTCCTCCCCCAATACCCATCCCCCTGTACTCCACTGCCAAAGAGCTTTTTCTAAAATGAAACACTAACCAGATGCCCAATACTCCCTCTACCTTATAGAACATAAGTCATTTCTATCATTTAGGTAATTCCTACTCATTCTTAAAGCCTAATTTGAAGGCTAATGCCTTTGGAAAACCTTCTCTGAATCTCCTTTTCCCACTTAAAACTATACACCCCTCCTTGAAGTTCTAGTAAAGGCATTTTCCTGGCATTGTTTTATTACATGTCTGGGTACATTTTTTTTATTAACTGTCTTCCAGCCTCGATTGTAAACTTTATAAGTACTAGTTTCTGAATACTTTACTTGTAGTATCTAACAAATATTAATAGATGACCACTATTCAGTTATTTTTCAAACATATATTTTCTCCCTTCTAAGTATCATACTACCATAATTTTCATCTTAAAGGGAAAGACAAAAACATTCCTTGATAAAGTAATTGGGATGCTAACTGAAAGCTTTTAACACAGTTACATTGAAAGTTGTTAACTGAAAATTAACTAAAATTGTCAATTAACTAAAAATTGTTATATTCCTTCATAGAAACTACACATTCTTTTAAAGTTTAATATTTACCGTAATACCTACTGTCTTTAAAACTGGCTGATGTTGGTTTCTCTAAAACCATAAAATTAACTGAGAAAACTGAACAGGACTTTATACTCTACTTTTCTATCAATATTACTGAGGCCTGCTAATAAAATACATGTATTACTTGGGGAAAAAAACCTACAAATATCAGATCTGTGCCACAAACAAAAGCTATATGCTTCTGAATTAAAAAAAAAAACAGAGTTCTCATGTAACACCTGTCCTGATTTCACAATAACCCTGTAATCACAGAGAGTGAGAATCGTAGCTTTTCCCCTCAGTAGCCATGTGACCTTAGCCAACTTAGCTAAGCTTTCTTTTTTTTCTTCAGTTTTTTTCATGTAAAGACCCACTATAGTTAATGTATAGATCCCCTCAGTTTCCTCACCTGTAAAATGAAGACAATAGTCTATAGACAGTCCCCAACCTGCACTGATTCAACCTATGGTTCTTTTCTTTTACAATGCATTTAATCAGGATATTAAATGCATTTTTTACTTATGATATTTTCAGTTTACAATGAGTTTAGCAGGACATAACCCCATTATAAGTCAAGGATCATCTGTGTGTGTGTGTATGTGTTCGTGTGTATGTATATATGCGTGTGCATGTATAAACTAATATAGTCCTACTACAAAGTAGACACTATAAAAATGTGTCTTTATAGTGAAAAATAGATTTCCTTTCTTTTACTAACAGTTATTAAATATACATATCAATATTCTTTATATAATTACTGATAGGAATATGAAATATAATTAGAGAAATAAAGTAAAATTATTGACCTATGCTTTTTAATCCTTTCTAAATCCTAAAAACAGCTACACCAGATCATATGTTACAGGAGACTGGTAACAATATTGCAAATTTTCTAATGAATAAGAAAGATTACTAGACTGGGTGCGGTGGCTCATGCCTGTAATCCCAGCACTTTGGGAGGCCAAGGTAGGTGGATCATTTGAGGTCAGAAGTTTGACTACCCTGGCCAACATAGCAGAATCCCATCTCTACTAAAAATACAAAAATTAACTGGCGGTGGTGGTGAGCACCTGTAATCCCAGCTACTCAGGAGGCTGAGACAAGAGAACTGCTTGAGCCTGAGAGGCGAAGGTTACAATGAACAGGATCAGCCACTGCACTCCAGTCTGGGTGACAGAGTGAGGCCCAGTGGCAAGAAACAAAAAAAGAAAGATTACTAAATTAGTTATATTTCATGATTCACTTCCATGTGATCATTCATGTTATTTTAAAGAATAAAAAAAAAAAACAAAGAGCCTATCTTAGCATTGAAAAGCAAGACACAGTTAGCCTGCTTAGTCTGCTGAGTCTGATTCTCCTAATCAGAACACAGAGATAGACAGACACATGTCAAACTCGAATGATAGTTCTTACTTTACTCTTCACAGCATCGTATCGTATTTGAGAAAACTCACGAAGACCAAAAGAACCTCCAACAATCAGCAACTAAAACAAAGAAAGGAAACATTTAAGCAAAATGCAAGAGTAGAATTCAGCCTATCTGTAGATTGCTTACCTAAACAACGACAGAGGCACATTATACAAAAATTTTATAGATTATCTTTCCTGTTGAGTCACCATCTTTTAGAGTAAATACAGTATATATCATCTAGGAAACATTACAGCATATCCTTACCAAATACCAAAATCACCACCCTATACCTGTATTTGACCTTATGATTTAAATGACATCATAACAAGCATTATATTATTTGACTCTTACAACAGACCTATTTTGTTTTTGCTAAGAAAAAAAACAAAAACAAAAAAACAACCATTTAACAAATGAGGAAATAAAAGTGCAACTAAATGACTTGCCCATTGTTAACTCAAATTTTGCCCAAGCTTGTCTTTGTACTTTGAGTGCTATTCGATCTTCCTTAGTAATTAAAGAAATTGAAACCTGATCAACTGCTCAGACCGTATTCAAAGAAGGCAGATGCCTAGCTATAACCAGCCAAGCTATATCTGTACTTTACTTTCCTGTTTTATCTATATTCTATATTCATTGCCCATATTGCAGACTGGAGCTCTTTCAACTTCTCAGTCTGAGTGCTGCCTGATTCATGAATTTTCTTTGTTCAAATAAACTCCATAAGATTATTCTGTTTTTTTTTTTGTCTAAGGTTTTTCTTTCTTTTGATACCATGATTACACAGGGTAAACCAGCAGTAAAACTCGGCCTTTTTTTCCTTCAAGATCAGAATTCTTTCGATATTATGATTTTTCAAAATAAGCCAGTTGGAGTCCTCATACCTTACCAAGTGATAAAGAAATCTCATGAAAGATTGCTGCAGAATATTCTCTATATCACATTGTATTCCCAGGGACAATATAGCTATAGGGATCACAGGTAAAGAAAGTTTTTAAATTCTTACTATATACTGAAATGCTGAAACATCACCTTAAGATATATAAAATCACTTTCATTTTTTGCTGGCACCGCTTTGAGGCACAATATTTTCAAAAGATTTAAACTTCACAATAGAGAATTATAACAACCCATTAAGTTCACTTTGTCTGCTGCCTAGTTAGCTGATTTATCAAGATGGGAATTACAATGGGGAATTGCAGAGCCGGCTGTGTGGGAGACCAGAGTTTTTTATTATTACTCAAATCAGTCTCACCAAGCATTCAGGGATCAGAGTTTTTAAAGATAATTTGGTGGGTAGGGGCTTGGGAAGTAGGGAATGCTGACTGGTCAGGTTGGAGAATAATAGGGGGCGAAGTGAGTTTTTCTTGCTGGTTTCTGTTCCCCAGTGGGATGGCAGAACTGGGTGAGCCTGATTACCTATCTGGGTGATGTCAGCTGATCCATCCAGTGCAGCAGGGTCTGCAAAATATCTCAAGAACTGATGTTAGGTTTTACAATAGGGACGTTATTCCCCAGGAGCAATTTGGGGAGGTTCAGACGCTTAGAGCCAGAGGCAGCAAGACCCCTGAACTGTGATTTCTAACCTTGTAGCTAATTTGTGAGTCCTGCAAAGGCAGACTTATCCTCAGGTAAGAAGAGGGTCTTTTTGGAGAAAGGGCTATTATCAATTTTGTTGCAGAGTCAAACCATGAACTGAATTCCTTCCCAAAGTTAGTTTGGCCCATGCTCAGGAATGAACAAGGACAGCTTTAAGGTTAGAAGCAAGATGGAGTCAGTTAGGTCTGATTTCTTTCACAGCCATAATTTTGCAAAGGCAGTTTCAGTATTGCTACAAAAGTTCATGACCACAAGGAGAAACTCACTCATCTTTACTTATTGTGTGTCAGTCTTATAAAAACAAGCTTAGAACAGACTTCGGATTTCAGAAGACACTTGCAGATTTCCCTGACCTCTCAAAGCAGGGATGAATTGTCAGCTGGGTAACCTCTCACCTCATACTGAAGCAATACAGCAGTTGCAGCTAAGTATGAGAGAACTGGGTTATCATCTCCAAAGCAAAGAAAACGTATTTATAATACTGTCATTGCATTTATAAATGTATTCTCTCACAACAAAAACACACACACAAATGATTTTGTCCAGTTTACAACTAACTGTACATGTTTAGTGGAATAACAATTTTAATTTTTAACATTTTGCTTTTTGTTATCCTATAGTTTTCCCCTAATAAATTAAGAAATGTAATGTGACTACAATTAAAAATGAACAAACAGTAGTTCATCTAATTCATTTGGCTAATTCATTTTTTGTGCTCTTAGGTCAATTTGCTGTCTTTAGTGCTGCAATGTATAACAAAAATTTATGTAGTGAAACTTTTTTAAGACCAAATGCTGCATTTCAAAGTAGCTAACTGAAAACTTCTATAGACCAGACTTCAAATATTTTTGCATCAGCCAATCTGTGGAATTTACACAACTGAGAAAAAGTAGACATACCTGACATTTTGCTGATTTAACAAAAGAAGGAAACAGTATTTTCAAAAGCTTATCCCTTCTACCAAATGACTGAAAAGCAGTTCTTCAAGTGGGAATGAACGGGTAGGGAGCCCTCAGTAGGGTAATATTTTGCCTGAACACAAAGGGAACAGCTTCTGTCTTATTTATGTCTTTCCCCCCAATATAACCACTGTTTCCAACTTACTGGTTGTCCTTCAAAAAACATCCATGTATAAGCACAGACGTTTTAAACATACCACACTCTCCCTTTAATACAAATAGAAGCATAATGTGCACCATGCTTATCATCTTACACACTGCATTAATATGTTATTAATAAACACACACAAAAGTGTATATAAAGCATTAATTTAGAGATAATTGTAACATAAACTACAATGCATTCACTACCCAGTTTAATAAATAGAATACTTACACACATACCCCTTGCAAATAAAATGGTAACCTTCTCTTTATCGTTAACACAACAGCTGGATTTTATTGCATTCACTTCTTTTCTTCTTTACCATCTATATATAATAACTAAATTCTAAAATTTAGTGTTTTCTGTTTTTGAATTTTATTAAAACTATTCTTTGGTGTAACTTTTTTAGAGAGAAATTATGTGTTTTAAAGCATATTGTATATAGCTATAGTTAATTCATTTTCTTTGCCATATAGTATTCCATTGTAAAAACAGAAAACAATTTACTACTCATTCCCTTATTTGATGGATACCTGAATGATTTCTAGTGTCATGTCACAGCCTCAGGTTTTGTTGGTATTCTTAACCTCAAAATTATAAAAGTTTATGTTTCATAGTGTTTTATACCTTTTAATGTTTATTTCTTTAATTGGTAATATAAATATATTTATATAAAAAGGAAGGTAGGGATCAAACTTTATTTTTTTCAGAATGGCTAGATCTTTCAGCTTCAGAATGAGGGATTAAAGCTAATTAGATTTTTGAATGACATGGTAAAGCAGCAATGACAATTTGGGGATCTTTTAAGATTACTGCATACTGAGAAGTGTGGTAAATTTCATGAGATTTTCTTTTCTTTTGAAAAAACTGGCAATATTTATTTAAGAAGTGAAGATGTCATTATTTGACAGTTACATATAATATATAATACTGCTCTGACCTTGCATTTTAAATTTTATATACCTTGGAGATTTTCTTTCTTTTTTTTTTTTTTTTTTTTTTTTTTATACAGATTCTCCTTCTGTCGCCTAGGCTGGAGTGCAGTGGAACCATCTCGGCTCAGTGCAACCTCCACCTCCCAGGTTCAAGCGATTTTCCTGGCTTAGCCTCCAGAGTAGCTGGGATTATAGACACCCACTGCCACACCCAGGTAATTTTTGTATTTTAGTAGAGATGGGGTTTCACCATGTTGGCCAGGCTGGTCTTGAACTCCTGAACTCAAGTGATTTGCCTGCCTTGCCCTCCCAAAGTGCTAGAATTACAGGCATGGGCCATCATACCCGATGGAGATCTTTTTATATTTGTTCATGTCATAAATGTGATATTTTAATAACTACATATATTTTATATAATTCTATATATATATAAACCTAATACATTACATACATTATGTACGTGCATTACTCACACATACATTTTCTCTCTAACACAAATATATTTTTCTTTTCTTTTTTTTTTTTTTTAGATGGAGTCTCGCTCTGTCACCCAGGCTGGAGTGCAGTGGCACAGTCACAACTCACTGCAACCTCTGCCTCCTGGGTTCAAAAGATCCTCCTGCCTCAGCCTCCCAACCACATTTGTTTTTGCACATATATACTGGAGAAAAAATATCCAGTAATGGAATTTCTGGGTAAAATAAATGACATCTTCACTTCTTAAATAAATATTGCCACTTTTTTCAAAAGAAAAAAATCTCATGAAATATCCCATACTTCTCAGTATGCAATAACCTTAAAAGATCCCCAAACTGTCAATGCTAGTTTTACCATGTCATCCAAAAGTCTAATTAGCTTTAATCCCTCATTCTGAAGCTGAAAGGTCTAACCATTTGGAAAAAAATAGAGTTTGATCCCTACCTTCCTTTTTATATAAATATATTATCAATTAAAGAATTAAATATAAAACATATAAAACATAAACCTTTATAATTTTGAAGGTGAGAATACCAACAGACCTCGAAGTTATGAATTTCGTTTTTTCCCTCATGGCAAGATTTGATCATTAGAAGCTACAAATTTCAAAACAAAGTATATCTGACCACATAGGGTGGGTGTGGTAGCTTATCCCAGCTATGCCTGAGGCTGAGGTTGGAGAATCACTTGAGGCCAGGAGTTTGAGACCAGCCTGAGCAACATAGCAAGAATTACTCTCTTAAAAAAAAAATTAAAACTTCTATGCTGACAAATAAAATAAAACAACATAAATTAAAAAAAGAATCAAATCAGGAAAAGTATCTGTTATAGATAAGCAACTAATACCTGCAATGTCAAATTTAAGAATTATTTGTATAAGCAAAATAACTTTTGTCTTTTAGATTCAATGAAAAGATACAGAGAGGCCATACTAAAAAGACCAACCGTGTGATTAGAGG